ATCCGCTCATGGATATGATTGTGGGGTAGTTTGATTTTTATACAATTAACGATCAAGAAGTTAGAGCACGAGAAGTAGTGGAGATTAAGTTCTTAAGCTCTTGTTCATGATCCGCTCACGGATATGGTTGTGGGGTAGTTAGATTGTTATACAATTAATGTCAAGAAGGTAGAGCACGAGAAGTGATAAAAAAGGTAGAGCACCACAAGTGATGGAGATTATGACCACATGATTCAACTTGTCAAGATTGACAATAAATTCAATCCAGTTGATGCGTTGACCTAGGTTGATATTTTTGAGAGATTCAAGCAACATTGTGCTACAACGCAGGTTTTGCATGGGAAGCACAATAGAAGATTGTTGAGTTACCTCTGTATATTATTACTCTATCTTGGTATGAGAGTAATAACATAGGTTAGAGACGTGACTGAAATTCTTTGACATGAGTTAAGGTGAGATTGTTGATCTATCTCTGTAAATTATTACTCTATGTTGGTATGAGAGTAATAATATAGGTTAGAAACGTGACTGAAATTGGCTACTTCCATAACTAAGTTGTGAAAGTAGCGAAGTGATTAATGATGATTAGCCAAGACATAACTAAGTCTAGCTAGTCATGACTAAGTTTAGCTATAATGTCTATATTTGACGGAATAATCAGTGGAGTTCTAGAAGATTGGGATGAACACTTCTATTTTGTCTTTTACAAAGGTCTAGATTCCAAAGGATTAAATTTTTGACTATAACTTTGGATTTGATTGGTTCGATTACATGTATGAAAGATGATTGGTTGGACTAAGTCTTATGTTGACTTAGTGACAAGAAAGCTTCTAGAAGTTTTAAAGTTTCCAATGGCATGTTACCATTTCAACCTCGGATTCCAAAAACTTTTAGAAGGTTTAGGTAGACCAATGACATGTTGCCACGTATAGTGAGTTAGTCAAACTTACATAGTGAAAAGTGAGTTAGAAAAAATTACCTCATGTTACTATGATAATTTCTCAAATAGTTTAAATAGAGAGTTAGAGTAGCAACTCTAAATCAAGTTTGAAGAATTCATGGGTGAGGACTTGTTTCATGATTGAAGGAATGAGGTTTTTCAATATCTTGGAGTATCGACGTGTGTTTGAGTTTGTGTGAATTGAGTGATGTATGGAGAGTTTGTGTAAGAGGGTGTTTCTAGTACACGAGTATGAGTGAGAATGTAGTCTTCTAGAACCATGATGAGCTATCACAAAGCCATCTGAGGTAAACCTAAGTGAGAGTCAACCTGGAGGTTGAAAAACAACGTGGGATTACGCAAAAATTGCATATCATACCACATATCAAACTCTTAGATGGAGTCATCTAGCTCAATGGTGACCACAGCACCAGAATACCGTCGTGGACACTTCATGGCTCCGTACATCACGTCCATGTTCCAAATCAACGGGTTTGTGACATTAGACGGTATCAATTTGAAAGATTCAAGATACGTAACACTCAGATCTTCTGCACTAATTGTTGGGTTATGTAAAGATGGCCGATACTTCAATCCACTACATGTAACTTCATCTTGATCCTTAACATGACCATCAAACTCCTCCGTGAGGACCAAATTCTCAACTAGCATCACTGCAAAATCTCCACCAAGTAACCAAATTCGCATCTAACACTGAGCACGCCTTAAGCTACTCTAGCCCTACTAGCTATGGGCTATGAGTAACCTACTTGCCATCACCGCTAAAAGACTCTCACAATCTACTGGTCATCACTCCAGTTTCGCCGTGAGAGAAACAAAGATAAGCCGGTCGGTGATCAAATCCAGTCACACTATCGACAACACATAGGAGTAAAACTACTCCATAAATCAATGTCATGCCTACACGAGCGCGCACCAGGAAGCAAGAATGGAGAGTATCCAAACACAAGCAAACAGCTAGCAATGACTCTCTAGTCTAAATGAAACACAACACAAAACAACAATAACACACGCGACATCACATCGCATCGCGATTCTGATTTGATTTCCATCGCTCCCTATCATCTTCCGTCTCTAGCGTATGTGATAAAATTTTGTCCACCAAGTTGCTAAAAGATTCTCCACACCAGAATCACACTCCAGCTCAACAAACACATTAAATAGTGAAAGTTTAATATGATTTTGACCATCATATGCAAATATAGCAACTTCAGTACAATATCTCCAAATCTTGAGACTATAGTATGTGAGACCGGATGCAAACTCTCGATTTATTCAAAATAAACTTTTCCTTCCTTCTATCTTCTTCTTCTCCAATTGTTTTTTTTTCTTTATCACAACTGAAAATAGAATTCTACTCTATAATCAACTCAGCCTAATCTAATTTTGTATACCAAAGTCACAAGAAGTTCTAACATCGAAGTGTTCGAGATTTTATCGTGCGAACACATATCGCTATACACTCTACATCGCTAACATGTTATTCACATATACACACACATATGACACGATAACGTTGTAAGCCAAAACGCCCCACCCTTCAGCGTTGGCAATCCGGGTGGGTGTCTTAGTTCACACAACATCACTTCTCTAATCTTACATAGTCTTCCAGACCTCTGTGGGTAAAACTCTCTTCCAAACACTGTAACTTGACTATGATAAACTCTATCTAAAGACCCTTGAATGCACATGTCACTGGCATCTTGGATTCCCCTCTTATCAGATTCCATCCACAATTTTGTGTTTCTGATTTCAGTCTCAATTTCTTAGTTTCCACCTTCGATTTCAGTCTCACTCACAAATTCTACTCTTCATCCTCGGAAACTCACTTACTACTCTTGCTAATTCTCTCCACTTCCTCTCTCTAAAATTACTCACTAATGTGAGAGTCACTCAATCTCACACTCATCTCTCATCTCCGTCCACACATAGATCCACCTTCAGACACCCCTCACAAGTCTCGACTCTCTACCCTGGAAAGCACTCTCAATTGCCCTCCGACATCCAGATCCACAATTCAAAAAATTTAGAGACAACACTCTCACGGCCAGACTCCAACCCCAGATCGAACAGGCCAGAGCCTGCAACCGTAGGCCCTAACAACTCCCACCACACAACAAGCGCCACATGACGGCAGCCGAAGGGTGCCACCCTACACACCCACACATCAGGTTACAAGCTTCACTAGAGACAATTAGCCGCACCCGCTTGGCCGTCGGATGGACAGTCCAATGCATCACCGCCCCTCAAGGTACCTGCTCAATCTTCACCATCAAGTTAAAACTTGCTTCCCGAGATCCCTTCCAACACGGCTCGCCAGCCCTGCGTCCGCGCTTGCCACCTCTTTCCTCGACCTTTGGGCCACCGTCAAACAGCGATTGCTGCCCGCTTGCTACACCTCCTCGGCATTCTCTAGCTCGATAAAAAACCTGATAAATTCTCTCTTCGACAACCCCAAACTACAATTCGGTAGTCATTCTATCCAATAACCTTAGACTAAACTAATTTGTTTTATTTATTTTTTTACTTTACTTTTCTCTCATCACTACATTAAACACTTTTAATCACAACCAATCTTGTGAGTGCATCTTTTAGACTCACAAACGTACACATTCAAATGTATCACAACTCGCTCCTTTTCACATATATACTAAATATAGACGTCAAGCTAGGTTTTCAGTTTTGAGGATATAGGATTGACATAAGTTCTAGTTCATTTTAAACTAACTATTAATAGAGACCAAATGCTCTCTTCTTACTCTACTTCAGCTTCCGTAATACTGTGTACAATATTACTTGGCAAATATGTGGATAGAAAAAGAATAAATAGTTAGTTTCACTCTCAACTTCAGAAAGATATTCTAAAGTATACATTCAAAGGATTGTTAATCTTATTCATTAGACCTATGTTTGGACTTCTTTTAGCCAAATCAACTATGTATAGATTAATTGTAAATTTTGCTTAGAACATGCTCGTTAACTAGTGATTCCCCCAATGATCTAACGTAATGCTCCAATTAATATTTCAAGCAAATGTAACTATGAACTTTAACAATGTCAAACTAAAAATTGTACAAACTAAATTAAAAGTTGACCTCGTAAAAAACTTGTCAAGAAAACATTCAATATATTATGAATATTAGTGGAACAATCTTGAGCTAAAAGAGTCACCGAATTGTTGCTCATATTCTAAGCACTACGTCCAACGTCAAGACTTTCTATGTGTAACATATGCGTGATCGCTTTCACATGCTGCGACATAATTCCACTATACGTCCGAAGTTGAGAGTGGCAATCGCTACGATAAAGTTTCATTGCATGGAAAGTATATTGATACTAGAATAAGCGTGACATGTAACATGAATGATTCCGTATTGAAACTCAAAAGTTACAATAAGCAATTTAGGTTCTGATGGATTACATCAAATAAATATCTCAAAAGAAATAAATTATTCATATTTATAGAATGAAATATTGAAATTGTATGAAACTCTCAAATAACCATAAATTATGCAAAATGACTGATGTATATAAAATAATATATTTATAAAATAATTTTCTTGATAGCGATTGATTATGAGATCACTAGCAACAATTAATACCATTTTTTAAAAAATTCAAAATGTTATATCAACCAAATAAATCGTTTTAAAATTCATACACGAGAGATATATGGTATCTCTGGTTCATACCGGTAATGGGAATAACAAAATCAAAACTGTAGAAACAAATATCCGCTACAAATAGTAGGGGCGAAAGCAACCGGGGACTGAAATCGGGTATGGATTTCGGCCCTCGAGTATACATAGAAGGAATCGGCGAATAGATCCGACAAAAGCCGATGAGACTGGGCCGGGATGGCCGGGCCCATCTACTCGTCTAACGACTCGATGGATAAGTCGCACGACTCGAGAGCTGTCGGCAGTGCCGACCGGACGTGGCCGGCACAGGGTCGTGACGGACTGGAAGCAGCCGGTCGGCGAGTCCAGTCGATAGTGCATGGCACGCAGGCTCACATTGCGAGCAGCAGGATGCGCGTCGGGGAGGTGGTGGTGCTCGTCGTCGTTCAGCTGTGGCCGAGGTCCGAGTTAGGGCTTGGAGTTCGGAGGCCTCTCGCGCTTCACGATCGTGAGGTGCGCTCGAGCAATTTGTGGATTCGCTGCTTCTCGGCGGCAATTCTCGAGCCAAATCGTCGGGTGTCTGGAGTGTAGCGCAGATCCGGTGGACGATGGGTTTGTAGACGGGCGGTGAAATTGTTGGTGGTGGTGGAAGCAGGAGAGGGAGAGAGGAGGAAGAGGCGGTGAGGACAGTCGTTGAGCCTTGTGGAGACGAGAGGCAGAGAATTGGGGGAGATTTGGTGATTGGATTTCATGGAAGCCGGGGTGGCAGTTGCCGGGCCCAGGCCTTCCTTTCGGAAGCCATCGCATGACACATCTCAGCGGAATTATAGGCGGCGATCTCCGTCTACTTCTTCTCGATCTACTTCGTCCTCCCCTTCTCCTGCCCGTGCTCCCTCGGGTAAGTCTTATGTCCTTCTTGACAGGTCTTTCTCGACTCTATGTTCTATGTCGTATGGCAGATGACTTTGCGTTTCGCTGGATTTCGAACAATGTCAGTTTTGAACCGCATTTTACGAACAGCGGAGGAAGATGAAGTAGAAGCTGGAATAGTGAACTCCAGTCCTGTGTCGTGTATGCTTCTGTGATGTGATGTGTTTTTTAACGGGGTAAGATTGTTTCTCTGCATTTATCCTACGTGTTAGTCCAGGGTTCTTGTGGACTCTAGATTACACGCACGATTGTTACCTAGTTGTTCAATTCGTACATACTGAAGTTGAGCGTTTCTTCCGAGAACAAGTTCTTGAAGACTGTAGACCGGAAACTTATCGGAATTATGCCCGTATAAATCGCTTACCTCTTGCGGGTAATGGGATCATCACCTAACCTCGTCAGAGCTGTAGCGAATCAGCTCCGAATGGATCGGTTATTATGTGAGCGTATGTCTATGGAGGATGACTGCGTTCAGCCGAGCTGCTGTTATCGATCTCTTCTCTATTACTGGCCGTCACTGAGACCTAGATATGATGTATTATGAAAGGCCCCAAACTCTCCGATTTTCAAACTTCGACGAGATCTTAGCTTTTCTGACGCTTAGTAACTTGCTCTGGGCCAGTTGCTTCGCCAAGCATATGTCAATCACCTCATTTTCTGATGCTATATGTCGATGTGTAACTGAAAGGAATGAACGCTTCACGGTCCGGGGTCTGTTGACTCGAATTTCAAGTGCTGGGAAGGATTTTCGGTAATTCTTTTGCCTAGCAATCTCATGGGAGACTGACTGTCGTGTCTGTACGTGTCGTTAATTCTGATTCTACATTGCCGGTTATGTTGAAGCAGGTGGTTGGAAACGTGATCGCAGTGTTTCTCCTCTGTCTCCCCGGAAGGATGGCGCTAGGTTGAATTCTGTACAGGCAAAGAAAGGAAAGACTGCTCACAAGGATGATGATAGCGACGGGGACAGCAGCCAAGGGAGGAGAGAATATGGACCCGGCACTTCTGAACGCTTGTCTCGGGGCTCCAGTTATGACCGACACGGAAAGTCGGATCTCTACGATTCGAGGCGATCATCTGGTTCTCACTCAGATCGCAATCATCCAGGTCAAGCAATACATTCGAGTCGGGATTCCTACGGTGATACCAGGAGGAATGGAGACTACGACCACCCAGCGCGCAGCCGCCATAGTCCCGATAGAGGATATCGGGACAGAGACAGGCGGACTAGAGATATAGAGAGGGATAGCGAGAGGAGCACGAAGGGTAAGCTTGGAGGGAGAGACTCTAACCACGAGAAAGACACGGAGAGGGAGGGGCGGTTGGAAAGAGATAAGAGCAGGGACAAGGACAGAGATCGCAGAGAGAGAGATCGGAGTAGAAGCAAAGTTGAAGGTCGGGAGTCATTCTTTGACAAGGATTCGGAAACAGAACGTAGAAGTGGAGGTGGGAGAGGGAGAGATACCACCAGGGACAGAGAGAGGGAAAAAGGGAGAGACAGAGATCGCGAGAGAGATAATGGAAGAATCAAATCTAGACACAGTGAGAAAGATGCGGATCCCCGGGAGACAGACCGAGATAAGGCGAGAGAAAAAGAGAGAGGAAGGGACAAGTTTCAAGGGAAAACCAGTGCACGTGACCCTGTCAGTCCAAATGATCCGGATGGAGATAGGAAAGCCTTGACCCGGGATAGGGAAAGGGAGAGAGAAAAAGGCAAGGAGAAACCTTCGAGCAGAGACGTTAATATGGACAAAGAACCAGAGTATATGAGAGATGGTGGTCGAGGTAGGACAAGAGATTCTGTGAGAGAGAGAGAGAAGACGAGAACCGAAGAGAAAGCAGGTCGAGATTTGGGTGTTGTTGATATGGACAGAGATAAAGATGTAGGGAGGAATAGAGACAGGGACAGAGGTAGAGTCAGAGACCTCGAATCCTACGGCAATCGGGAGGACAGCAAGGGTCAAGAGCGTCGTAGGGAACCTGATCGATACTCGGAAGGTGATCCTAAGGAAAGGAGTTTCAGAGGAAAAGAGGACAGTAAAGAGGGTTCCCGTGTCAAAGACAGGGATGAGCAAAAAGAAAGAATCCGGCACAAAGACAAGGATGATCCGAAGGAGTTACAGAAAGTAAAAGACGAGTTTGTAGAGGCTAGAGACAGAGACCTGCTGAGGGTAAAGGAAGAGGTCAGCCCCTCTCCGGATGTATCGAAAACGAACTTTCGTCAGGATAAAGAAAGTTCGGGGAACAGAGTGGTAAAGGATGAGGTCGGCTCTCCCTACGATGTTTCGAAATCGAACTCGCGTCAAGAAAAGGAAAGGACGGGTGGCAGTTCAGACTTGGTATCGCAGCCCGACAAAGACAGAGGTGGCAGCTCCTCTCGGGAGAAGTCTCAAGGTACTGAAAGACGGCTCAGTGATGGAGCTCGAGAGAAAGAGAAGGGTCCGCCTCGGTCTGATGATGGCGAAGGAAAGAAAGAGATGCAGCCGACTCTCAAACGAACTGATTTTGATGGCAGTTCTAATTTTAGCTCGAAGGATGGAGAGGTCAAGAAAGATAGAAGTTTGGGCAAGGGCGACTCGCAGAGAGGTCCCGAGGCTAAAAGCACGCCTGTTTCTGCAAATGATCCTGAAAAAAGCGCTGTGGACAGCAAGGTCTCGAAAGGTTCAAAGTGGGGTCCTGAGCCAACTGATTCGAACCTTCAAGGGTCAGTAAGTGAAGAGGTGGCAAACGATCTTACAGCCGCCAAGCTGGCAGCGCTGAAAGCAGCAGAGCTTGGTAAGAGCCTCCTCTCGCATGTTGAAATATCTCCTTTTGCAAGGTAAATTTTCGTTCAAGAAATTGTGATGCACATGCAGTCTCTTCGTCTTAGTGGCTGTCCAGTAGAATGTCTACGATTTGTAGATATTGGAGCGAAGTTTGCGAATGTGGAGACTGTGCTTCAAGGTTACCTAAGCCTTTTACACATTGTTGTCTATCACACTCCGCAATCCCGGAGAAGTTCGATGAACATGCTGAGTAAGCTTTTGTGGCGAGAAACGGATAGAGCAGATGGTGAAGGTTTTCATTTGTATCACATATACAATGTAGTCTAACATTTAATAAACTTGAACATTCTGTCACTTAATATTCTAGTTCATTGACAGTGAATAAAAACCTCGGAGTACCGGGCTTTATGTCAGCCGACCAGAAAAAGAAGCTGTTGTGGGGAAGCAAGAAGTCTGCAGCTGAGCAGGTAGTTCTTGTCGGAGAACTTTCTGAATTGTCCAGATTCCCAAGTCCTGTTCAAGCTAGTGGCTTGCTTTCGTGCTGTGTATAATGTTCGCGTCTATATTGTAAAAGCTGAGACAGGAGAGTCTCAGCTTTCACAATGTAAGTAGTCATCGCACATGATTATGCGGTATTGCTGACCTTTCTCTAACGTTGATTGTCAGGAGCCGGCTGTTACAGCGGGAACTAATCGTTGGGACACTGTCCATTTTTCGGATCCTGATCGACAAGAAAAGTTTCACAAGCTCATGGTGAGCCTCATCTGTTTTTCATATGGCAAGTCAGCGTTTTCAATCCTAGATTGTTGGACTTTTTTTGAGTTTTCACGTCAGTTGGTGTCTTGCGTGAACGCGGCGACAGATTATAGCAAGCGGAAGAGAAATCATTTCAAAGAAATGTGTAATCAATCTAGCATCCCTCGTTGGACGTGAGAATTTTTTAAGTGTTTACCTTTTTTCTGTTTTTGTTTTTTATCTTTATCGTTTCCAGTATCCATCTCTAACACCTCGACAGAGTCTGAGTGTCCTTCACTGCCACTGGCCAATTTCAGGGCGTGAAGGCGGATTCCAGTGCCGATTGCAAGAGGGAAGGCGAGGCAGACGTCGGTCAGTTCACAGAAGAAAGACAACGAGAGTTACAGCAAGACTTGGAGAAGCAGTTTGCTGCCGGCTTGAGGCGAAGAGATGGTCGGACTGTTGGACTCGGGTTGTGAAGGATGAAATAAAATCTGGCTCATTGCGGAAAACGACATCGCTGCATTTTCTTTATCTCTACTACATATGAAGCATCGTGTGAGGATGTAATAGCAGTGCGTTGTGAGCTTATATTAGGTATCAATCTACTCGTAACTTTTGCTGCCCGCTCATTCAGAGGGATCAGTGTTCCATTTAAGGACAAACTGAGCGCGGGAAAGGTTGTTGCAATGATATCCGCTATTAGCTGGTCTATTCTTCTATACAATGTGTGCACATTCTGTGACTTCAGTCACGTATTCCGAGTCCTTCGATGTGATTCAAGAGGTCTGTACGTTATTCAATCCGCATGCTTCGATATTGCCTCTCTGTCAAGTTTATTTTGGAAGAAAGTCAACCACTCCATTTTTTTGAAATTGACCCAAGCATTCAGCATGAGGGAGTTTAATAGCCACCAGTGGTGTCAACACCACCCGTGGTTATTAAGCTCCCTCATGCTGAATGCTTAGGCCGCCGTTTTCGACTCATATCATCTCATGATACACGTCGCAAGCATGTGATGCACTAACTTTAAAATCCATGTACGTTTGGTATGCATCCCGTGTTTTTTCCGCCTTGTGTTATTCATCGTTGGGTCCCATCAACTGGATCAAAACCATCTTAGTTTTACGGATCCTTGATTGGGCCTACGAGATCCTGGAGCGGGAGAGACTTAATACACGCTCTCTTTCCTGGTTGACTACAGGTTCTGGATCTTTTCATCAAATTTAGACTTGCACATCACTCCCTGATTACGTCAGCAGGCACGAGATTTCCTACTAACATCTCATCCTGTTCTCTTCATTTTCATTCTGGTCTTTCCTGGATTTTAATGTGTACTGTTTGGCGCTTGATCTTAACCCTAGACATCAACACCCGATTTTCTTAAGGCCTCATTTAAGTAGGATGCATGTCCATCCTCTGTGAGAAGTTGTTGTTGTCACCTAGCAGGAGCCTGACTATATTTGCACAATTTGTTGATTTCTGTCATGGCCCCGCTGCTTGTGTTGAGCGCCTGTAATAGGATCTTGATGTATGTCTTTATATTGTATCATCGTGTTTAGGTTTTTGCACTGCAATTGCATCCTTTGTTTCAACGCGATACATTGTAAGGTGTTCTACAAATTCTACTTCATCGTTTTAATTTTAGATTGGTATAGATCACATATAGAAAGAGTTTTGATAAGACCGCGAACGTAGGTATGTAATGTGTGCAGTTTAGTTAGCCTCACAAAAATTTCTCAAGACTTATCTTTTGCTGAGACAATTTTAGTTATTTATGTAAATAAAACATTTGTTAAATAAGATATGGAAAAGAATTTTTGAGTAGATGTATACAACTTCGAAACGTATTGCTGTTACTTTTTCACAAACTTACAGTCCGTGGAAATGTTTGCGACGGGGATATGGACAGTAAATTGTTACTCTTCATAACCCCGTCGCATTTTTCACAAAGTTTGTATCCATACAATTCATCGTAGTCCTGCGGAAGACTACGATTATGAATTATGGTTACAAACTTACACCCATGACCGGGCCAGCCTTCTGCATGCTCGGACAGTGGGCGACGTCGGTGTACCGGTGGCCATGAGCTGGGCTGAAGTGAAAGGGTTGGAAAGAGTTCGGCCTTTCAACTCAGACGAGAGCCCATGGGCCGAGTTTGGAGTCCGGAATTTTTCCAGATGTGGAGGGAGGGGAGACATCCGAGTTTGCCATCTCGCCTTGCCTTCTCTCTCTGGGACGGTGGACCAGTGGTCATGGGCCTCGACTAAGCCGCGTACGTTAGACGAGAGGCCAAAGGGCTGCGACGGTGGACCGGTGGCCATGGGCTGGGCACGGGTATGAGGTTTTATATGATATACATATTGCGATGCAATATATATGTGCACAGCATAATTTCTAGCAATGTATTGTTAATCAAGTCTATCTTGATTAAAGAGTGCGATGTTTGAAAACCAATGTACATGGTGTCATCCATATAAATATCTTCTAGATGATTGATCTATATAACCATTCATTCTATGGGACCTTGTGCTTGCCATACTTACTGGCAATTCCTTCTGTCCCTAGGAGGGGTTTGAAAGAATAGATTAATACACTTAGATAATATTCTACATTTTTGAATCGAGACAATCTCCAAAGTAACTAGCGTGAAGACTCTATCTCTTATTTTCTAGCAATCAAACGTTCACACGTGTGATCAACTATAGGCAAAATGAACTTTAAAGTAACTGCAATAAAAATGGTACTTTTAACTTAGAAGATGGACAGTCAGATTCGAATCATAGGTCATAACTATCAATGTATCATTAGTCACAACTTGAGATAACAGAAGATAGAATTTACTTCTAAAACCCCCCTATCAGTCCAATGTATGATCGCAACGCCATGGTCTGACTCTGATATTAATCCGCAACACAACATAGTCAAAACTGTAGTTAAAAGGATTTCCTGATTATAGTGATACTCTTTCCACCTTCTGCGAAGTGATACTTTTCTGTGATAGTGATACTGTGATACTTTTCTCCTTTTCGAAGGAGAAAAGGACCCGACGTGGTTCACATCAGAGTCTTCTGTAACCCTGGCTAAGATTCGAGGTATAGGACAGGGTGAGCGTCCCGTAGATCATATCCAAGTTCAAAGTTCTTCTTTACTTGATAGCAAATAAAATCAAACTCTTTTCTTCCTTGAAGTCAGTCGTAGCATGCGCACCAACTAGAAGACCTGTGTAATCGAGTCCCAGTGAAATAACAGAGGTATGTTGAGAGTTTCTACCAACTGGTGGTACGTCTCGTGTCAAACTTGTAATTATCGAACGGAAATATAGGCTTCGTTGATGTTTACAGGAATACTGTAGTAGGATGAGTATCTACCACATACGTTCCTCATGCTAGTCTTCGAGTTCTTACAGGCCTAGCTAGCTTGCAATTCCTATCACGGCTGGTCTTCAACTCTATGCTACAATCTAATTAAAGACCGCAGCTAGTGGGTCTAAATATTCTCAAAATCCCACCAGTCCAGCCCCACAAATCACTCACTCTCGAAAACAGTTCTTAACCATAGAAAGTCGAAGTCAGCCCAAAACTCACTACAATAGAAATATGAAATGGAAAGGCTGTCGACGGTTCGACAGATGTGGCCACACAAGGTTGCATCTCTTTTTCTTCTTCATACTGAACTTGATGTAATGACCTCTTCATGAAATGATCAACCGAAGGGCTTCTGGCTTCGGCAGTCCAAGTTCTGCCCGGGGTCTACACCGAAGAGTGAGCAGAATTTTTTGTAGTACTGCACACGTCTGTCTGCTTCGGCCGAATTCTTGTTGCACTCGAGTCCGCCATTGATGATGTTGATCGTGACTCCGAAGCCTGGGCGTCTGTTGGCTGCGTTGTCAGCGGACGATGGGCTCCAGCTTCCCGTCATGACTGCGTGGCACGATGGTTTGTTCCATTGTTGTGTAGACCAAAACCAGATGGCTGTTTTGAAAGCTATGGTGGCATCTTGTGCCACACGCTCTGGTTGTGCGAGAATGCCTTCGTTGATGGCAGCCCCGCATGCTCCATAGTTGTAGTTCCTGATCGAAAGAGGACAATTGGGCCATTTTCAGCTCCTATTTATGCAGCAAGAAAGAATTAAGATTATATTTACAGTTCTCTCGGATTCATCGTGCACACTACTACCTTTCCCATCAGCCGGTTGCATCTTGCTTGAAATTTAGCAGCTGTACTAGGGGAACCATTCGTGACAATAACAGAATGCTTTTTGACAGTTGCTGACGATAGACTTACGGATGGTTTCCTATGCTTGTAAGTCCTAGAGAGATTCCCATGGCACTGTTTTTGGAAGAGAATTCTCACCAGGAAAGCTGCATCGGGCCTCGTCCATGGTAGCTCTTGCCAGGAGCGCATCGATATGGGTTCTGGTTCTGAATATCGCAGTATTTGTTTTGGGGCTTCTGCTCTTCTATGAATACCAATCCTGTACGTAGTTTAAGAATCAAACGCAGTCACTAGATAGCAGACCATGTGAGATACAATTTGACGACAAGAATAATAAAGTGAACATCGCAATTCAACTTTCTGGGTTTGGAAGAGAGATTCTGGTAGTGGTGTCAGTTCGACTGCACGCTGGATGAAGATGCGATATGAAGTACGAGTGTCCAAAGAAGGTATTGCAGATCGCTCACCACCAGTTTCATGTTCGATATGTGCCAGGAAAGCAGCAATCTCTTTCTTCCTCGTGTTAGTGTCGCCTGTGGTTCCCAAGCCTGCTGAAGAGAAGCTTTTGGCAGCATTGATGAGCGATTCGTAAGTATAGAATCTGTTCCTGTTGGGGAAGTTCTTTTCGAATACGCTTTTGCTGAGGATATCTCTTAGGGAACCTCCACCACCACTACTGCAGGGCCCACTTTGACATCCACTTCCACAGTAAGAATCTCCAAGCCCACACCATCCCCACTCACTGCAGCAGTTACCATCACCGCAGAGGGCGAAATTGGCCTGCTTACCGCACTGTTCTGCTGCGCAATGTGCAGCCATAATGGTGAGGACCAACATCCCGACCACAGCTCTCGTAGGCATGATACTCGTAGCTCAATGCGAATCGAGCTCTCAGTACTAGTTATTGAGCTTAGATCCCTGAACTCCGTGTTCGTTCATCTTGGATATCTTCGAGTCCCTTTGATAGGCTTTCCGTGGCAAGTTCATCCGATCTTCCATGGGCCCATGGAGGACCGCAAGCAAGATGCAGCCCAACAATTCGTTTGACCTCGGACCTTGTACGGTGAATTGTGTCATGGACTCAATGCCCGGGTCTCACCAGTCAGGAAACGGGCTGGTGCGAGGTGATGCCCATGCAGTGGACTGATAAGCATGGAGCGCAATCGCACCTCCTTTCCGGGACCGACTATGTCTTTACCGAATCACGAGCATCCACCGAGACGTAGATGCAACTGTCAGTAGATTTCTGGTTGCCTCTTGCGTCCATTTCCTGTCGACAGGAAATGGACCTTCTACAGTTTCCTTCTGTTCATTCTCTCCGAACTAGGCAACTTACCGCTCCTTTTCTCTGTTCATCTAGTTTTCAGAGATCCACTTGCGTATATATTTGTAGACACCAATCGAGAGTACCAAGAGAGAATATTCTGAATAGGTCCAGAGGATACTGGGCAAAAGCCTTTGTGAAGAAAAATGAAATCTATATGACTGTCGATCTTGACTGGATGTGGCTCAGATAACCATGCAGTACGGGGAGAAAGGTAGCGCAAAGTCTTCGCTGAGACTCTTCGCATCGAGTCCGGTCACATGCCTCGTTTGACTGTGACCAGACGCAGCAGCAGCTCACCTCACCCCGCAATCGTTTCTTGATTGCGAACAAAAAGTGATGGCTTCAGGGTCGATGCAGGCCTCGAGGAGGCGAATGATCTACTGTACGTCTGTAAAACTTGTTCATGATGTAGGCATGGAGTCACTTGAAGTCACTGCAAGGAACCAAACCTGTTGTTCGAATATGCTCTCGATCACAGTTCTAATGAATCTGCTGTAACGGTCACCATTTTGGGATACTTGTACGAGTCTTTTCCGACACACGATAAGACGGTCTGCCATAGCAGCTCTCACAAGATTCACGTGGCCATCAGTGCGAACATACAGAGAACATCTGTAGTCTTCCCTGATTCGGAAATTCAGAGATATACACATAATGAAGGCATTATCAAAAGCAGCCTTGCCATGTTGGCTCAGTTCATGGTAGACAAGTCATGTGCCAAAGGGACGCTAAAAAAACTGAGACACAATTGATAATAAAATGAGAATGATCATGAACCTGAAGATCAAGGCTAGATTCATACACCGCCATGTAAGTCCAGGGAATACTGGAGGACACAACTAGATGGATAGCTGATGTCTTAGATTTACTGCCTTGAGAGCCCAAGTCTAGGTACAATGATTGTTCGGGACACAGTGCAATGGGGACAGGTTTGTTTTGATGGTCTAAGTAAAGTGTTACTGCACTGTAAAGGATGTGTGTGTGGTGGGCTATGCTGCCAGAAGGCTGGGAAGCCAAATATCAGAATTGGATTCAAAGGGAGTGGAGAGGGAAGAGAATGTGAGACAACGAAAGGAAGGGAGATACCGACAGGCTCTGTCTTGTGACAAATTTAGATCTACACTGGCGCAAATTTCTCTTCTCTCCCAATCCATTATGGGCTTATATGCTTATTCGTTGTTCCTTCATGACTTTCAGCACTATTTCGTGGACTGGAGTGACTCAACTCCAGGAAACGGTTCGTCAGGATTGGACCTGAAGCTAACAAGGAGTACAAAATTCACGCACAAAGTTCAAGCCTATGAGATGGACTATATCTGTGATGAAGATCGTGATGTTCACAATCTATCGATCGCTTAGACCAGACCGTGCGTGTCAAGGAAAGGATAAGCAGGTGTACGTACCTCGTTGCTGACGTCATTATAATCCAAGCCGTTCTGGTTCAGGTTGAACTCGGCATGATCATCCCAATCGTTGGCCTCGTTGGGAACGATGGAGCTCTCGCACTTTCCTCTGGGTGAAGGCCAAATCGCACCGGTGTTCCAGTTGCAGCTGCTGCCGAAGTCCAAGAATTGGCTCTGGTTTTTCCCGGAGCATGTCGTTACACTATCGATTTGATGATGTTGATACCACAGCCTGTTAAAGACAATCGGACAGTATGGATGCTCTGGAATCTCATCCTCACGAGCCCAATAACGAAATGACGACGCTATGCTTTGACATTATATGGTATGCATTCATTCCATCTTACGGGGTGACTTATGATTCTGAAGAATTCACAACAACTGTATGGACCCGGACACACATTCAAAGAAATTCTGACCACGTATAGACTTAGCTCAAAACAGGAAAGGTATGGACGAAAATGGAGGTCTAGAACCGGATGCAATGGTTTCATACATGTTGTGAGATCGGCTCATCGCCTGACCTAGAGAGACTCTATCAAGTTCTACAGGACCAGTGGCTGGAGGAAAGCAAAGTACGCTCTGACCTCTTTGAGCAGAGGAGTGCTTGACATCATTCAGATTGTGTTTTCTCTATCGTCTGAATACGATCTTAAGAGCAGCAGAACATGGAATGGGCAATACGTAGTCCTGATGATGGAAGACAGTGGTGAGCGAGAATGCAAAGATGCTGAGATACTGCTGAGTGCAAAGATGGAGAAATTACCGAAAGCATGGCCCAACAGAGTGGCGCAGATCAGAAAACCCGCAAATGCACGAGAGGATTTCATCTTCGGAACTCGTTGATGGACTTGACGCAGCTGTTGTCCTGACTGATCTTCAGCCTGTGTGATCTGGCAACATGCACTATATATACATTGCATGTTGACTTTATGACCAATTCAGGTGACGCTTGAGTGAGGCAAAGCCCTAGTCCGCATAGTCGCCCCCGTCTTCCATCTTAGTTATGCCATTACTCATGTTTTTCATTCATGCAACGTAACTTGCTGACAACCTCACGATCATGATCATCGACCACCTGAAGCTACTTGACCAGCAAATTATGCTCATCAATGTCAGGGATCATCAAACAAGTAATCAAACTTACACTAATCGGCCGAAACACTTGGACATGCTCCTTTAAGTGGAGATTCTTTCACTATAAGTCATTGACTTCCTCCTGTCTTCTTTGGCGTTTTCGTGTCATGAAAAGACAGGTACAATATAATAAAACGTTTATCTGGCCCTTCCAACTGTCGATTCAAAAGCTGGCTTTCATCACTTGTATCTATAAACTGTATAAAATATTTCAAAGTGGATCAATTGAAATCCTCAGATAGGCACGTGAAAAACACAGTAAAACGTTGTTGACCTATAAGCCCTCTTCTATAGCTTCCTAAGAGGTTTATCTCTTTTAAAACAGAGGATTTGCCTGATGTCCAACTCATTAGAGGCATCTATTAGGGTAAGATCTTGATATTACATGTTGAATTAAAACTTGTTTACGAATAAGTTTTAAAACAAAAATAATTTCTATTAGTGCCTTTCTAGATTTCACGGAAGGACATCAAACCTGAGTTTGATGTATATAATCATAAGACTACCTTCAAGTGCAAAGATTTATTCTACATTGGACTTGGGTTTTGCAGAGAGGATGCGAAAACTCACAAAGATGGTCCTCAATTCTTTACTTTGGGAAACTCTTATAGATTTTCTAATGCTCAGAAAGCATCTATCTGGAGTTATGTATTCCAATTACTACACGTGAGGGTTGAACCAAATAACCAGAATATGAAAAATCGAGATTGGACTTGTTATAAATTCTTTCATTGTACGTTGTGAGAACTGAACGAATATTTAATCTGATATGCTCTTCAGCTCCTCTGGAAAGCTTGAGAAAGCAAGAAATGACTTGCGTTGAAGTGTAGTCACAAGAGAGAGTGAGAGAGAAACAGAGCAACAAAGAAATGATGGATATTTAATATGCATGAAGAGGATTCAACTCTTTTCAGCTTCATGACGAAAATTACAGACTACGACCTTTAAGTTCGTTGTCAGTGGGGCGTGACTGGACACTCGGGACGTTGCTTTGAAAATTGGATTATATCTTTCAACTACATTGAAGGTTTTGAATGCTTATGCAGGCCCGTATGGTATAGTAAGACCTATGAAGAGGACCCGCCATGTCTTTCAATGACTTTAATGTCTCGAGGGAGAGAGATACGAAGCCGCTTATCTCTGAAAACGTCATTTTCAAGTCGATTGTGGGAATACTTATAAAGCGTGATATCTTACTTGTTATGATATAGTCCTACAAATAATGACAACTGGTGACAGAGTACGAAATCAGATAAAAGCTTGTATGTTGTTTAAGAAAAGCATTGGATCTTGGTACTGGATATGGTGGACCCGGTCGTTGAAAGATAGTCACAAAATATCAGAGATGGCTGATTGTATGAAATCTGAGTATGGATCATGATTAAATTTCTACCAAGCATTTGACTGATGTAGTAGTAGATATTTGGATTTGCAATATAATCGCTCATCTCATCACAGTAAGCAGAGAATGCAGTGAACTGATTTGACTGGCTTGTAGCATAGCAATTTCATCTCGAAAACAGCTCTATTCTGCATGATTTATTGCGAAAGCTAAGATCATATCGATCAGTACCTAATTTGGAACATGTTCCTTGAGGAGAGATCCCCTTCAGTTTGCCAAATTGTGGGATTAATAATCTTTTGGGCTTTAATTGACTAAACCGAGATCTATGGTATGTACTGTCTGTTTTTGTGTGTTTTTTTATTCCACTAAAGTGTACTTGGAATGATAGCAACTACTTTGCAACAGGTGTTGTTTATATTTATCGAAATAATTGTGCATTTGCCATTCCTATAGTTATATATTATTATATTTTTTCCTTGGTATATAGAATGAAAGGTTAGAATTCTTCAAGTTCATTCGTCTATACAGAGTTGTTCCTTTAATCTTTGAAATATATTGTATTTTTAGACTTCTTTTACTATTTTTGTGAAAGATCACACAAAGTACTATCATACTGTAAAGATTAGAATGCTTTGAGTGCGAGAGGTCAAGACATTTACAAATAAGTTGACCTGTGGCTAAAAGTAAGGTATTGGGTAAAGGCCGGACTGAACACATTGGCTGGCACCACAAAAGTCAAGTTTTCCAAAGAAAACGTGATCGCATATTCTAGAAACATATGAATCGTGATTCTGATGCCTTCCTTCTTCAGGAAAAGTGTCCAAACCCTTGAGCTTTGTCTGATCTTTGCCTAGACGAGCCGGAAGAACTGAAGGTCAAGGTCAGCAGTTTCATGTTTTTCAAGACCACGGGTAATCTTTCTGGGTCGTGTAATGTTTTAACGTACGCGGCGGAAGGTCCTCGTCAACAGTGGTCATCCCATCGGGATCAGAGAAATTACTATCTACTGCAATAATGATCGAGATGAAGAGAATCAGATCTTCATGTGACCAAAGTCAGCATCAAGTCTTCTACTCAAAAACTGCGAAAGAAACAAGCACACCTTTGCAGCAACAGCTTATAACTTTACACGAAAGGATTGAATATCACTTCACTTTGTGTTTCACTTGTACTTGCCAATCGAGATGTGAACCAAGGAACGTGGCATTGAACAAAGATCAAAAGGGCGAGCGTGACTGTCGCATTGAAGAAACGTGCCAGTTACTCGTATTCTTAAGAAGGACAGGTATCACTCTAGAACGATATCTGTCCATCAACTACTGCCTTCAATGGGATGCGTACTCGTCGATGGTCGGCTCCAGTTCAGATCTGCGAGGGGAAGAAAAAATGGTGCACTTCTTCAACATCCAACTCTGACTTGGACGAGATTTGTTCTGTTGGAGCTCTTTCCATCATCGTCATCATTGGGCGTTTAGTACCTCTCCTCTGTATCTCGTGTATGGATTCCGTTGCGTGGTGAGTATTATCATCTATTACTTCAGCTCAGATTGATTGGCCGCGCAATATCAGCACTTTCCAATGGTTCGGCAATCGTCCTCTCCGCTACATTTGCTGAAAGGATGTGACATCGCAATCGTATATGAAACACGTTGCGACATTGAATGTAGAATTTTATTTATTTATTTTTTTCTCTTCTTTCTTTTTTCGTCGTTGTCCAGCCTCCTTCCGAAGTATCTTCCGAGGATGAAGGTCCATGACATGGGTTACACAGCTTAAAGGAGGAGTCGAATCTTCTTCTCTAACGAGCAAGGTCATGATTATTCACGACCTCTGTTCTTAGCAAATGCTCCAGATGTCAAGAACGAGTAAGCTTACTGTGAGCGAATGTCTTGGTCTATATTAAACTTTGCCACAGTTCTATTGAATTACGGTATTGGATAATGTTTGGACTACATGTTTTTTAATATCATATTCATTACCACACTGTACAATTAAACCTTCGAACAATATAACTTTACATACCTTTGAAAAAATTGAGATTTAGTCTTTAGTATTTTTCATTATTTATTTTATAATATTGATTTTTTGTTAGAATCTACTTTAATTATATAAACCATGATATTTAAAGAACACAGAGCAATGAACCAATTAGAATTATTATTTTTATAATACAAATAAAATTTTCATGTAAATAATTATTGTATTGAAAACAAACTTGAAAATATATTGATACTGATTTGGAATAAATTAAAAAATGACTTTATTAATGAGATGAAAATTAGTTTTTCAATTGAATTAAAAAATATTTAAATATAGAAAAAAAAATAAAAAATCATTTCTAACCTATTAGATTGTATAGTTTCACAAACTATCCTTGATCTTAAATTACATTATGGAAGATATCTATAATTAATAATATTTTTTATGAAATTTTGTTAAAATATAATGATATATAATTATGAATAATATATATTAAATACATAAATATTTAATCAGAATATTCCATCATAAACTATATGAAGACATTACAGTAAACTGTAAACAATCCTAGTATGATTAGCTATCACATAGTTTGATTAGCTATTGCAGTGGATTTCGAAGAAAAAAAACAATGAATAGCCTGCCTGGAAACGTTCACACAGAGAGTAGGAATGAGTTTAGCAGACTGAACGCAAGCGGTGAGTTCCGGGGCACAATGATCATATACAAACTTCAATGGTCACGAGCGCATGCTCCGATATCGCGCTGCAGGTCCGCCTCAGTTCTGGACAGCCCGACGACCTTGCACAGATTCGGAACGGACTGAAAATCGTATGGAAAGCAAAATTGTACTCAATACTCAAATGACGTCGAAGTGAACGTACCTCCATGTGCAGAGATCAGATTCACAGCAAAGCAGTCGTGTCTTCTTCCTCCAAGAAGGCGATTTGGCAGGGCTCTGCACATGAGGTGGTCGTCTGCTGAGATCCGATCCGCTCACCATAAACAACACTAATAGCGGGCGGCGCGCATGTATTTGTGGTAAATTACCGCCCCGCATACGTCATGCGGGGCGGTAAATTCGGCATAACTTTGGGCGTGGCGTCTCACCCAACGCCACGCCCAAAGTATATAAAGAACGACTCGAAAGTAAAATTCACTATCAGGTCTCTCCAGGTGTGGAGAGCTACCCTTGGCCTCTCGGCAGAGGTCAGAGGTTTATAACGAGCTCGGACAGGCACTGGCCGAGCTCGTTATAACCTCTTACCTCAGCCCAGCCTTTGGCCTTCCTTCTTCAGTAAAAGTGTCCAAACCCTTGGGCTTTGCCTGGACGAACCGGAAGAACTCAAGGTCAAGGTCAGCAGTTTCATGTTTTCCAAGACCACCGGCAATCTTTCTGGGTCGTGTAATGAATCAACGTATGCGACGGAAGCTCCTCGTCAACTGTGCTCATCCGATTCGGATCGGAGAAATTACTATCGAGTGTAATAAGATCAAGAGGAAGAAAATCAGATCTTCATGTGAGCAAAGTGAGCATCAAGTCTTATCCCTAAAAACTGCGAAAATTTAAGCACACCTTTGTAGCAGCAGCTTGTAACTTTACACGAAAGGATTGACTATCACTTCACTTTGTGTTTCACTTGTACTTGCCACACGGAATGTGAACCAAGGAACGCGGCATTGAATAAAGATCGAAAGGGCGAGCGTGACTGTCACATAGAAGAAACGAGGCAGTTCTCGTATTCTTAAGACGGACAGGTATCATTCTAGAACGATATCTGTCCATCGACTACTGCCTTGAATGGGATGCGTACGCGTCGAGGGTCGGCTCCAGTTCAGATCTGCGAGGGCAAGAAAGAGTGTACTTCTTCAACATCCATCTCTGACATGGACGAGATTTGTTCTGTTGGAGCTCTTTCCATCATCATCATTGGGCGTTTGACTTCTTGTACCTCTCCTCTGTATCTCGTGTGTGAATTCCGTCGCGTACTCGCAGACGTCGCTTGTAAAAAGACTGCGCATGGTGCTTTTTATCACGCATGCTGCGGTTCCCGGGCATTCTGGCAGGAAGTTGACTTCAGACCAGCTTGATTGGCCGCGCTATATCAGCATTTTCCAATGATTAGGCAACCATCCTCTTCACTACGTTTGCTGAAAGGATGTGACATCGCAATCGTATATGAAACACGTTGCGACATCGAATGTCGAGGTTTTTTTTTGGTTGTCCAGCATCCTTCCCAAGTTACTTCTGAGGATGAGGGTCCATGTCATGGGTTACACAACTCAAAGGAGACGAATCTTCTTCTCTAGGGAGCAAGGACATGATTATCCACAACCTCTGTTCTTAGCCAGTGCTCGGGATGTCAAGACAGAGTAACCATGCTGTGAGCAAATGACCTTGGTTTGCACTAAGTTCTGCCACAGTTCTATAGCGTTACTTTATTGTATACTATTTAAAGTACATGTTTTGGAATATTTTATTCAATACCACATTGTACAACCAATTTTTCGAAGCACCTAGCTTCCTGAAATGTTTAAAAGATTGAGGTTTGGTCCTTGGTACTTTTCATCATCTATCTTGTTATACTGACTTGAAATTAATTAAGAATTATTTTTTGTTCTATTCGAAATAAATTATGAACTTTAGAGAGCGCAGAATAATTTACCAATAAAAATTATTCTTATTTTATATCACAACAAAATTTATATATTAATTTAATATAATAACGCTGAATATATATAAACCCTAAACCCCCCTAAACCCTAAAGTTCCAAACCTTTGTAGTCCATGATTAGAATCATTATCGAGTATTAAACACTTCAATAAAATAATGGAATATATATATATATATAAGTAATATTTTTTACTATGATTGTATTGACCTTTGGGGTTCATTTCCATAGGTGGAATGCATAGTTCAATAATATTCAATAGGAATCTTAAGAGACGTATGTACAGCAAATCATGTTTTTTCTAGATCAACATCTACTTAGATTTTATTTTTTTCTATATTCACTTTTGGCACAAAGAAGAGCACCTGCTATGGAGATGGGCTTGAAAGCAAATTGATCCTCATTTGATATAAATAAATAAAAATTAAATTATTGCTGTGACTAAAATTAGCTCTCAAACTGAATTATAAATTTAAAAGAAAAGAATATATAAATTATTCCTAAAATATTCGACGGTATAAGGTCACAAACTGTCGTGGATCATAAACTACACGACCAAGTTGCCAATGGGTTATTAAAAAAGTTTTCGATGGAAAAATTAAATTGTATTTAAAAATAATCTTATTAAAATATTCCATCATAAAATACAGAAATATTCTGAAACTGTAAACAGATTTAGAAGGTAAAAAAAACTGAACAGTCTGGAAATGTTTACACAGAGAAGACTAATAAATACTCCGATGTCACGCTGCTGGTCCGCCTCAGTTCTGGACAGCCCGACGACCTTGACCAGATTCGGAAAGGACTGAAAATCGATTGGAAAGCAAAATTGTACTCAACACTCAAATCACGTCGAAGTGAACGTACCTCCATGTGCAGCCATCAGATTCACAGCAATACAGTCGTGGCTTCTTCCTCCAAGAAGGAGGTTTGGCATGGCTCTGCACATCCGGTGCTCGTCTGTCGAGATCCGATCCGCTCATCATGAACAAATTCTTCCACCATTGTCGACACTGGTAGCGGGCTATGAGTCTGCGACTGAGAGACCTAGCGGGCTCTTCTCCCCATCGCAAATGAGAACAATCTGCATTCGATTTGTGTGACCGATGAACGGAATCATGTATATACTTGAAGAAGGGTACGGACTTGAGGACTGAAGTGTCTTTGCCTCTCTGCTCTCTGTTCGGCTGTCTGTGATTCTGAGTTGTCGCTCAAGTGCATCCCGATCATCCTAATCTCGACATAATCTTGTCACAAAGGCTCCGTTGGTGTCCGTTGTGTTGGGTTTATGCGACAGATTTCAATCGGGGTTCTACTTCGTTGGCAAACTTTGTGGCACACAAAGAAATCCTGAATCAGCAAGTAGGGATTGTGATTCCAAGTCCGCAGCCAAATTTAAAGCATGTCCTCAGTTTTTTTTAGCTACAGCGTCGTCACTGCATCCTTCTTTTTCACCATTCTCAGGCAGACTGTGAATCAAAAGGACAGGCTTCTGAAGGTAGCCAGGTATGGATGCGTCTGGAATCTGATTCAGACGCATCCATGCTTGAAGGAACATAGAAGGCAGATTCAGGGACATAGATGACTTCAATACAAGCCAAAGGACTTGACTGCGTAGTGAAGATGAATCAATTCATCCAATTTAACATATTGGACTAAGCTACATCCAGCACTTGGATTGATTGAGGTTCATCCGATTTGTGTCAACCACAGTTGCTGTTGTTGGAATACTAAATTTACGTGGCCTCTCTCGGCTCAGGTTATTGTGTTTTGGTGTTCTCGGCGTGTGATATAATCAACACGAAGTGCAACGGATAACAACATGCTCGCTTCAGATACTCCAGTAATCAAATTCAGGATTCAGATGCCCTCTGTAGGCATCGCTGTACTACGTGAGTTGTCGGGCCCTCAGTATACTAGTATACTGCTTGGATCTGTCTGGTACGTTAGGATTTAGTTTTTTTTGAAAAGATGAAATTTTGGGAGTAGATGAATAAAAATTTACATTTTTCTGGTGAGAATAATAATAACTAGACTAAATAAAAAAATGACTAGTTAGAATCCATGTTAGATACCCTTTTGCTCGAGGTAGTGTTTTTACTCGCAGACAATGAGATTAAATTAGATAGGTCAAGAATGGCTAGAGTAGACAACTCTTAACGTTGTCAATTATCGGCAAATTAATTCAGGATGAATCTTGGTAGATGGATCTTGGCATTTATTGGCAAATTAATTCACGAAGAATCTTGATAGATGGATCTTGGCACACTCGTTCTAACGAGCCTAAGAACTACTGAAACGGATTGTGAATGAATCTGAGTTGTGAATTTGGGAAGTGGCTAGTATGGATAGGAGGAAGGAAAGAAGTACCTTCGGCCGAAGGTACTTCCGAAGGCCGAGACACCTTCGGCTTCGGGAGAAGTAACTTCGACTTACTAAAAGGCGAAGTCACCGGGAAGGAACTTTGTCCGTTTGTGCGACGGTTCGCGCGAGTTTGACGAGACAGTTAGGGCTAGGGCTCCGATCGGGTTCGGGTAGAACCCAAAAACCTGAGTTCGGGTGGGTTGGGTCGACCCGAACCTCAAGGGTCCGCCGCCGGGTGGTGGCGGCTTAGATCCAAACCCTAGTAAGAATAGGGTATATAAAGAGCGGGGGAGTCCGTCACTGTGCACACACTTGCGAGCGAGTGACTTTTTAGAGCCCCGAGTTACTTGTTTGAAAGCACCCTCTTTGAGTGAAAGTTCCCTAGTCCGCGAGTGACTTACTCGATAGCACCTGATACCTGCCAGAGAGTGACTTAGTCGAGCGGGGAGTGACTTATTCGAGGAGGCGTAGTGCGAGCCTGAGTGATATATTCGAGAGAGTAGAGTGACTTATCTGAGGTGCGAGCCTGAGTGATATATTCGAGAGAATAAAGGCGGCGACGAGGCGACGTGCGAGCCTGAGTGATATATTCGAGAGAGTGATTTATTAGAGGGGAAAGTGAGTTATTCGAGAAGGCGATGTACGAGCCCAAGTGATATTCGAGAGACACCTGTGTGACAGAAATCTGCAAACTCTACCCCGCAAGTGACATATTCGAAAGCACCTGAGTGACTTATGCAAGCACCGAGTGATATATTCGAGAGACACCTGTGTGACAGGAAATCTATGAACCCTACCCCGCGAGTGACATATTTGAGAGCATCTGAGTGACATATGTGAGCACCGAGTGATATATTCGAAAGACACATGTGTGACAGGAAACTTGCGAACCCTACCCCGTGAGTGACATGTTCGGGAATACGTGAGTGACTTATGTGAGCACCAAGCACCTGAGTGACTTAAGCTAGTTCCAAATGATATATATTTAAGAGACACCTGTATGATAGGAAACCTGCGAACCCTACCCCTCGAGTGACATATTCGAGAGCACCCCCGAGTGACATTTGCGAGCCTGAGTGACAATCTGCGAGTGACAAGAAACCAACTACGAGCCTTAGTGACAAGAAACCTGCGAGTGACAAGAAACCAGCGAGCCCTATCCCACAAGTGACGTATTTGAAAGCATCCTTGAGTGACACTTGCAAGCCTGAGTGACAGGAAACCTGCGAGCCCTATCCCACGAAGTGAAGTATTCAAGAGCACCCCCAAGTGACACCTGCGAACTTGAGTGACAGCAAAACCTGCGAGCCCTACCCCGCAAGTTACTTATTCGAGAGCAATCCCGAGTGACAAGAACCTGCGAGCCCTACCCCGCGAGAAATTTATTCAAAGTCTTACTTGCAAGCCTGTTCATGTGATTTGAGGCCTGACCTGGGGAGGCCCGATCTTTCTTGCGAGTCTGCGGGAGGTCGATCTTACTTGCGAGATTGCGAAACCTGCCGTAGCCCGATCTTACTTGCGAGACTGTGAGACCTGTAGAAGTCTGATTTTACTTGCGAGCCCGATCTTGCAGACCTTTGTGATTAACCTGCGAGCTCTGACCTGCGAGCCTAATCCGCGTGATTCGAACCTAAACCGCGTGATTTGCGATTTGCGACCTCTGACTTGCGAAGCTACCTCGCGTGATTTTCGAGTCCTGACCTGTGCGAGTCTCGACCTGCAAACCGGGGAGATCTGAGAGGGAATCACATGATTTGCAAGCCTTGACCTGCGAGCGTTGAGTGATTTGATGAGAGCTGAGAAAACCTGTGAGCCCCACATGAGGTGTAAGATCTGAGATCTGAACTTGCAACATCTGCGTAAGAAGGTTTAATACTACGAGCCCTTAGTGAATTGATCTTAAATCTTTCATGTGTTTCATTTCAAAACATGAAAACTCCTGCAAAGCATATGTTTTCCGGTTCTTCTTCTCAGATACAATCCCAGGAAAGAGGAAAACGAATTGTACACATGACTCAGAGAATCTTGCGCTTGTCAGTCAAATTGAAGATACGTATGTTGAAAAGGAGGCAGAGATCTATCATAGCAATGATGACATAGCACATTTTAAAGCGATAGACAAGGAAATTTTTTGATCAGCTGCAAAGAAATCTGTAATTAAACCTAAAGGTGCGATCTATGAGCACATTAATCGTGTAGACGAAGAAGAAAAAGTATTGTTTTATTGTACATACTGCACAAAAACATGGTGTTATTTGGAGTACGTCTTCAAGAAGACAGGGTCAAGTACATCAAATCAGATGAAACATGTGAAGAGTCATCATAAGAGATAATATTCTGGTAACAATAACGCATTGTTGGGACCAATGGACGGCTATCTTCAGAATTCTTTGTACTTGGAGAAATAAATAGCAGCCACCTCAGACATATCTGATGATCTTATTCATGAGGCGATTGAGAATTTTGTGTTGTTAGAGGCCGAAGCGTTCATTATTATTGAGTCGAAGTCATTTTTAACGCTTTTGAAAATATTACTCAAATGCAAACGTGACAATGTGATCATCCTGAAAGTTGATGCACTCCGAAACGGTATATTGAAAAGAGCCAAGAATATGAGATCCGAGCTTAAGAAAGAATTGTCTAAAAGCAATTCCACAATACATATGTCATTGGACATGTGGACATGTCCAAACCAATTCTCTTTTTTGGCTATAGTCATTCATTTTGTTGGGCCAGACTTGACACTTCACGAAAAATTTCTGACTTTTACGGATACAACTGATCATAGTGGAGTCGAATTGGCAAAAATTGTCCAACACACGTTGGAGGAGTTTGAAATGTCGAACGTATTGGATGTTTGACTATGGACAATGCCTTGAACAACAACACTCTAATTTTAGCTCTGGAAAACTCTGTTGCCGATTATTTTATCCGTGAAAAGATATTGAAAACTTGGAACGCCGATGATTCAAGGATACGATGTTTGCCACGCATTATCAACTTGTCGTGAAAGCGTTTTTGAAATCTTTAGGAGAGACTGACGATATTCTAATACACGACGAAATTTCCAACAGAAACGCTTCCAACCTTATCCGAAGGCTACGATATCTGTGAAAAAATTGCGTTTCAGTCCTCAGCAAAGAAAGCAATTCCGTGGGTAATGCAATCTTGCGAATTGTGAAAATTTGATGCTTATCTTGGATGTCTCAATCCGTTGGAATTCAAAATATTATATGGTTGAAAGAGCAATTAAGGTTCAGAATGGCCTCAAGAATTGGCTCCGTACCGATAATCAAATCGGAAACATCAAACTAGCTCAGTTGGAGTTTAGTGATGATCAATGGCGAAGGTTTCAAAGCATATGTGATCACCTGAAAAGATTTGAAGAGGCGTCAAGATTAATGTCTGGGGAGAAATAGCCAACACTCTCCTTTGTGATGCATGTGTTCGTTGAGTTGTTCTCGTACATTGAAGGGCAGGTGACTATTCTTGACGATTTGAATCCTATGAAATACGCTTTGGTCGCGGCGCATCAAGTTCTTTCCAAATATTATTCCTTCACAGATGATTCTTATTTCTATATGATGTATGTAATTTTGGGCCCGAGGTTCAAAAAGACATACCTTGAGCAAAAAGAGTTTGAGTCGCTTTACCCAAGATTGATTTGTGCTACTGTTACTCTTTTGAAAAAGTTGGTGAGCGAGAAAAAAATATTTTGTGGCGACAATGAATTCAATTCAGTTATGTCACAAGAACCTCAATAGCCAACTGTATTTTTGGGCATGTTTGCTCATTGCAATGCGGATAATGAAACAGAAGATGAGGTAGATAGGTACTTATCTTTACGATGTGAAGATCCTACCGTTGATCCGTTCGAGTATTGGAAAGTTCATGAAAAACAGTTTCCTTTTATTAGTGCAGTTGCAAAGGAAGTTCTTTCTATACCAGGTTCGGCAGTGGCATTTGAACGTATTTTCAATTGCGGACGCGATGTGATTGGTATACAAAGACACTCTCTAGCTCCCGTAACTTTGAGTGCTCTGATATTTGGAAAAAGTGTTTTGAAATAATTTACAATTAATAAAGCATACAATTTGTTATTTTGTGATATTTTGCAATTTCTTTCAATTAATGCATCTAAATTTTTTAATATGTAGAATCACTTAAAACAATTTAGATTATTTTTATATTGGAAATATTCTTGTAAATTTTTGGTTGAAAGATATTCCTTGAAAGTCAAAATAGCATGCAGTAAATAGTGGTTGATAATTAAGTGTACTTATATTGATGATCAAAAAATTGACTAATATGATTGGGAATATTTGCTCTAGTTATATCACCATTCAATATAGCAGTTACACACGTCGGAATTGTTGTTTTGGACTTGCTCAGTATTGGCTTTGCCAGAAGATTATAGATTTATACCATGTTTATAAAGAATGAAAAATAAATTAACGTAAATATTGAAATATAATAATTACATTTAATAATCTTGAAAGATTTGTGGTAAATAAATTCATTCATAGAAAAAAAATTCAAATTTATTGAAATGTCATAACCATTTAAGTATGAAATACAATTTTTAAAAGTAAAACAACCCGAATAAAATATATTTCATAAATTATAAGTTGATTCCACTAAATTAGAGAAGTAATGAAAAAGTAATAACTCTTCTTTCTTTCAGATTGATGATCACCAAAAATTGTAATAACTTTGTATATTTTGAGATTTTTTTTTCTA